GCACCACGGTCAACCATTATCATAAGTCAATTACTGCCTCACAACAGACACGGTTGAACTCCACTGGTCACGGCTTCTCACTAGAACACCACTAAATACCTCTTGAAGCTTTTCAGTAAATTAAAGCAAAGAGACTGAAACTAAATACTCTGGATCTACTATATACCTAAAGTGAAAGAACTTACATTATCCATGCTGTTCCTCAATAAACATTGCCGTGAAACACCCTATATACAATTGACCTGTGGGATTTTCCAGGACTTTTTAAAGCTTAGTTTTTGTTGTACTGTCAATCACATACATAACTATAACTCAAGACTTTAATTATTTACTTTTCAAACGTCAGATTACTGAACTGTTTAGGACACGGGTAGCTTTTGAGCCTAATGCAACAATTGTCTTTATAAGCTTGTGCTACTCTCAGTGATTGTCGTGCAGATTTTTCAATATAAAATTTAGTATTTATGATCATTCCTGTGGGGTGTTTTACTATGAAAATTATTTAGAATTAACTTTGATCTCTAGATTTCGTTTTAACTGAATGGACTTATTTAAACACGGATAAAGGACTACGTAAATGAGAAAATAACTAAATTTACTCAACAGAACGTTCTTCATGTACACCAGTTTAATTTTATGGCTATTGTAATTTTAAATGATCACCAGTTATCGAATTGATGTCATATAAATAATCGAAATGAAGCATGAAATACTAATGCTTCATGTTTTTAACTCGATTCAACTATGAATATATTTAGATAAAAAAAGTGCGAATGTATCAAAGACAAAGTTTATACTCTGTTTCAATGAGAATGACATTCGAACAGATATCGTTTTTATCGTACCATAATTCTGCATGATATCACAGTTATTGAGGTAAAGCATTTATGCTACAAGTAAATACAGATAGTAAAACATTCATCAAATGACAAATCATCTTATGTATGGAAACTGAAAAGACAAATATTGTGCATATGATGCAAGCACATGATGTTATACATGTGTTTTATCGAGGGGAAATGGGCTCCTGAAAGAAACAAACATTGGCCAATATCATCATGAGTATTTTTAAGAGTCTAAAATTGAGATAATCCAAAGGGTGATAAACCGTCCACTTAATCTGTGATTAAAAATAACAGCATTTCATTTCAATGAATTTATCATTAATAAATAGAATATTGAAAAATATCTATGTAATAGAATTATCTCAATGAATTTAAGATAAATATTGTAAAATCATAAAGTTTCTTTATTTTAACCCTTATGAAAGTTTTAGTGGCCCTATATCTAACTCCAATTTGATCGTTTCTGATTGCTGTTGAAATATACATATCGCCAATTCACGTATATAATCACCGACTTGAAATCGCGTTAGTGAATAACGATACTAAATAAGTCAATAAATATATAGGAGAATAATTAGAATTTATATTTCAATCACAGTCAGATCGCAGACCACTAAATTGTGACCAAGTGGATTAAACTGAGATGGCTATTTAACATTGATCGAATTTATTTTTTACGGAACACCTTTAAAATGCATATATAGATTCATTATTTACAGAACTATTTTTAATTTGACTGTCAAATAAACATATATAATCTAGAATATTAACAAACCTTCAATTGCTTATACCGCTATGAAATGAGGTTTATCTGAGCTATTCTCAGTTTAGTTAATATAATTTTGTCAATTCACTTGTTTGAAGCATATATTATGCTATATATAATGCGATTTTTGAAATTAATATCTACATAAGACTATAGCTACTTAAAATTTATAATATGATCATTACGGTACTCAGAAATGTTCATCAACTGAGAAAAATATCAACAATTCTATAGAAATTAAGCCATTAAACACTATACTTGGGAAAGGAAAAACTTAATACTTGCTAGAAACGCTTATCACAACAAAGCAAACAGTAAGATAATAATGTTTAAATCTAATTCTTTTCTATAGTGTTAATTCAACTATATATAAAACTTAAGTCTACTTTGAAGGCAGTCTAGGTAATCAGCTTAATTTAGTTGAAATTAGAATGAACAAACTATCAATATTACTAAAAGTATATTTATTTGAACATATCATAATATGAATAGAAATTGAATACTTAATACTTCATTAATTTAACAAAACATTACTACACTCTACACAAACAGCACGAGTTTTCAAGGCTAGATAGAATCCAATAAGATCTAGTTGCTTTACGTAACTTGATGTTTCTACTATTGTTCCATATAACTATAATATTCAATGTCATTTTTGAAAATTCATTAGTGACTACCTTCAAGGTGAGTTTTTAAATCTAAGCTTTGACATATGAAATTAGTCATAACACTGGATAATATAGTAGTCATTCAATGATAATAATAAATAATAAACGAAATAAGTAATGCAAAAACGTAAAATAAAAAACTTAGTATTTCAACTTTTGAATACTTATCACATTAAGTAAAGACCCCCAGTTACAATAAAATAAGTTTACAATGTTGCTTACCCCCCAACAACCACCAAACTAAGAATCAACTATAAAATAAAACTGAACTAATAATTATGCTTAGAATTACCTAACTAAAATGAAATAAAATAACCAAACGATCATTCAACTTACCTTGATATTATTGATTGAGAGATTATTATGATTGCCTTATTTAATATCTATATGATTCTTATATTTTCATATAAATTATTATTATCATTATGTATTTCATATTATGAAATAACTAAACAAAATGAATGCATAATTGTATGTAATTAAGATTTATATTAAAATGTATTTCAGTAATATAATATATATAATTCTAATAAATAAATAAATATATAATTAATCTTCACGGGTGATTTACAAATTATTAACGTTTCTTAATATTGAATAATAGTCAGATAGTTATATTAATTATAATATAAACAATTGAATAATTAAATTCACTTGGTATTATTTGGCTTGTATCTTCCTATTGAGGTTTAAGATTGCAATTGATCAACCTGGTTAAATTCACCCCATTGCACAAGCAAGTAGCTATCAGGACTCAGTAGCTAAGTGGATAACGTGATAGCGTTTGAAGCGAATGGTACTGGGTTCGAGTCTCAGAGTGAACATCAACTCTGAGATGCAGGTATATCCAGCTGACGAGTCGCAAATAGGACGAAACACGCATCCTGGATTCCACTGCTAGTCACTATACATCATTGCTTATAAAATTAAATAATTATATGGGCAATATCAAGTCATAATTAAGATCACATTATGAAAAAAAGTTTTCATTGATTTTTTTTTATAATTATCAACAAAGATAATATGTAATGATTAACTTAATAATTTCTATGGATATTCATAAATCTAATTAATTCGGTTCACATTAACATAAAGAATTGTATGCATTTCAAGGTTGTAATCTAAATGGTTTTGTTGTTGCTGTTGTTGTTGTTGTTGTTGTTTTATTTTTTCACTTACTTTCTAATACGTTTTAATGATTTTTGTGAAACTGATTAATAAATACAGTTTTCTAACTTGGTATTGAATATACTTGAAAAAAGTTACCTTATTTTCAGTTGAAACATATTTTACTTTTGTTCTATGGAAGTTTTGACTTTGTAAGTAAGAAACACTCTTGGTTTGAAATCATGAATCAATTGAAGCTAGATCACCATGGAAAACCTGAAAACAGTGGACGGCCGTTTCATCCTAGTATGGGATTCTTTACTAGTGCGTAATATATTACATATAGTATAGCCATTATCTTACATCATTGATTGATATTCTACTCATGATTACTAATAATTAAGACTTTTAATTTCAATTTTCTTGCAATTATATTATTCATGATAGATGTATATTTATAGATACTAATTAAATATGACATCATAATTTAACATGAAATGAAGAATACTGTGAATTAACTATTTTAGGCTAATCAGTTTTTCACAGATTGAAATCATGAGTCAGCTGAAGCATCCGACGGTGTTAACACCGTTGGATGCCGGCTCAGTGGTCTAGTGGTTAAGTGCTCGTGCGCGAAGCCAGTAGGTCCTGGGTTCGAATCCCGCGGGGGGCGGGTTCGTGGATGCGCACTGATGAGGAGTCCCATACTAGGACGAAACGTCCGTCCAGTGCTCCCAGGTTTTCAATGGTGGTCTAGCTTCGACTGACTCATGATTTCAATCTGTGAAATTTCCTGAAATCTCCACAAAACTCATTCTTATAATAATTAGTTTTTAACAGTGACTAAGGCCTTAGATAATTTCAAATTAAGAAAGATAATCGTCATAGTTACTAAACCTTTTGTAAAGTATCTATGGCTTTTAATTTTAAAAAAAGATATCACATTATAAATTTGAAAATAATCACTAGAAATTAAATACTTACAATGTAATATTAATTACGTAAACTATATGAACAAATATTAATAGTAAGAAAATGTATTATCACTATGACTCATTTATGCATTTTCTATTTAGTAACATTACAATATTAATTCATTACATCATATTTCACTATAAATAAATTCCCAAATAGAATATTCTATCATAATTATTCTTCATTAAACTTGAAATGAAATAAAATAAAATATGATAAATTTTTATTGTTATTCATATGAATAATAATAGTGGTAAAGTTTTGAATGAACAGTATAGTATAGTATCTAAGAGATCACTGAACACACTTTTTTTCTGGATGTCGAATGCATAGATTATTAGTTTCTATAGAAAAAAACAAACAAACAAATAAACAAATATTTGTTTATCGATTAATAAAATTATTCATATTAAAGAGATAATGTTTATGACATTTTACATTGTTTATAAAAATAATAAATTTTCATTCATACATTATATGATTTGTATAGCGTATATAAAAAAAATACACCGTCGTAACTGAAATGAATAGTTAAAAGTAGTCATATTTTAATATTTGTAAAGTTTTTCGCGGGAGGTGGGAGTGTAGGTGTTGTTCATTCGATGTAGATAATAATATTTGGCTTTATTCTTGAATTTATTAAACACTTATAGAAATATTTGATTTAACTTTTACACGTTGTCCATCTACACCTAATACAGTACGACTTAGACCAGGTGATGGACGTCTTCGAATTTTTGTAGGTGATAAATTTTCATTTGTAGAAATGAATGATACAGAAGAATTTCTTAATTTCTTTTGTGTAAAACTTGTTTTACATACAGTGTTTAATGAATGTTTACTGTTAGATAAGAAAATTGAACGTTTACCATTTTGTAAATGTGTATTTTGATCAATATCTGCATCAGTATCTCGTAATAAATAAGATTGATTTCTGCAAAAACATTGAAATATTCTACAAAATTCATGACGAAATTGTTTACTTGTTGCTAAATAAATTGGAAATTTCGCAGCATAATGTGTCATTGCAAAACATTCGATTAATACACGTACTGTAAAGAAACGAAAATAAGTTGTCCAACCAGGATCATTACGTATTTGTTCATCACTTAAATATTCATTACCAGTTGGTAAACGTTTATGAATTACTACGGCTATTGCTACAGATAGATGTGCAATAATAAGATAAAATGATGTACATAATAATGTCAATGTACTTGAACGTGCTCCTTTACTTATCGGTTGTGAAATTTGATTACGATCACAGTTTATATTTGAATTACCATTGACTGTTGTTGCAATTAAAGTATTTCGTTTTGATTTAATACTTTGTCGTAATACTCCAATGACTAATATATTTAATACAAGACACGTAATTGGTAAACAGAAAAAATATAATGATTCTGTGATAAAAGTCCAATTTGTATATAAACTAAATCCAATAGAATTAGGATCTTCAACTGATGGTCTAGTAGTACATACACCATTATTATAAGCATATACAAATGCTTGAACACTAGCTGTAATCAAACAAAATGCAAACATTATTGCAATAAATTTAAAAGCACTTTTCACTGTGGAACGCATTACACTTCTTTGTGAACGGAATGGATGACATATTGCTAAATATCTTTCTAATGTGAATGTAAATGCCAATGTAGGACTTAGATATTGTATTAAATAATTTATAACAGGGAATGTTTCACAAATTACCGGATGATCAAGTACACCGAGTTGCCATGCCACATGTAAATACCAATTCAAATGTATAATAAAAAAACATAAATCCACAACGCCAAGACTAGCTTGATAAACTGCAGCAGCAGCACTACCACCACGTCTCATTGGACGACTACTCCATACAATAATACTGAATATACTTCCAGGAAAACCAAGTATAGCCCATAATGGAAAATTTGCTCTTTCTACTATGGTTAAATGTGGTGCAAATGTTTTAAATAATAATAGATCACTGTCATTATAACGTTCCCATACAGATATATTACTGATTTTATATTCCATAATTAAATTTTTAAAAATACAGAAATTGTACACCTATGCATCAGTCCCATTTAGTTCAAAGTTATTGTGATAATATTTTCAAATAAATTTTCATACCTCATTCATTTCATCTTTTGTAGATTTCTGTAGTTGTATTATTAAATAACCAATCAAATAATAGTATATTAAACAAATTAGAAACGTTATTCCTTTAGAAGTTCATTCGCCTCAATCCTAATTGGTCTGATTATTTTTTTTTTGTTTCATCACGCAATCTTCGTAAATGCACCACATGTATACTCTATAGACGGCTTCATTTATAACATTCTATTTAAGTAGTTAGAATGGGGTAATTTTAATAATTTAAACTTTCAAAATTTATGTATATCAACTTGCACAATAAATGAATTAGTGTGAATGTCAATTTAAGAATGTAAATTCAGATTGATTGTGATCATGCTCAAATTTAGATTTTAAATATTATTGCTTTCAAAAAGGATGTAAAGCCAATCCTGTAAATATAAGCAATTTAGACATTAAAATAAACATTCAGCTATAGTAATAAACACGAATAAAGAAGATAACTGTTAGACCAAAAGAACCTCTCAGTTAATATATATTTTTAATAGTTAAATTCATGAGCCAATTAAAGCTAGAACACTATAAAAAACCTGGAGGCACTGGACAGTCCTTGTTTGGGACTCTTCGGCAGTGCGCATCCACGATCTCGCCTCACGAGGTTCGAACTCATTAATCAATCATTATAAATTACTATAACATCCACGAAACCCCTCCCTGATTACAATATATATTTGTTGAAAAGGTGAAGCCTGTTAGCATATCAAGATCAATCACACAATCATCAAACGACTATCAATAAAATAATACATATACTCAGCATATATAAAAGGCCGTAAAATATCCTAAGACTATACTGTGATTCATTATTAAAATTCCATTTGTCACTTCTGTTGATTTATACAAACTGTTTTGTCTGTCTCCGATTTTCTGATTGCGAACAAATCAGCTATTCCTTCTGGCTCTTTGAATTGAATATACAATCAAAGGTCGAACGTTAATCTGAGAGTCTCTCACTCCGATCAATCAAAAGCGTAAACTATCGTCGCTTATTGGCGCCTTAGCACAAATTTATCAATAATCATCATCACATTAAAAATGACAATTAGAAAACAAGTGAAAGGAAACATAATGTTTATCTATCATATAGACTAGCAAGCGAAATTTGTAACATCTTGTCGATTGAATGTTACATGTTATGCCTGGTTGTCGCTGATTGTCACATCGGGAACGCTTATCATTTATGATCGAAACAAGGGACCTCTGCAATTCCCACAACGCGAAAGTAAGAACACAAAGACTGATATCAGCGAAAGTTTATTAACGCCAAAACACGACGATTCTAGTCAAAAATAGACTCAAAAATATAAAATGATAATTATCATTATTATCACTTTACTCAGTATAGTATATTTAGTAAAGTATAGATAAACTCTTACTATCGGTGTGCAGAGTAGACGTATCCTACTATCTCAATTATTAAAATATCCACACTATCGTTTCATTTTTTGTAGGGTTAGTTTTATTGATTAAAATATTTTCTATACGTAGATAGTAATCATTAGAACTTTTACGGTCATTTATATCTTAAAAGTCTTAGGTCAGAATAGAAGTTAGGTTCCATAGCACAATCTACAAACCAGCGATCTCATTTCACGTGTTCTATTTTATAGGTCATCTCAACTGTTTCTTTGCTACTTAATTATCATTTCTATAACTTTTATTAAATAAAGTAGATCTTTTTATTCTACTTAAAACAAAATGAACATTCGGAATTCCATATAGTGTATCTAATCTGTTTATATAACGAACATTCCACAGTTCCATAATTTTGTGAGTTGTTGAGGATGAAATCTTTCAAGGTTTTTAAATTCTTTGATAAAAAACTTTTTTAATCAAACTACAGTTTATCTCATTGTATTTCAAACTAAAAGATTGAAATAAATTTACATGACCATGTTAACAAATGGGAATCTAAAATTTTCGAGAATATTTAAATACATTAAAAGGGGAATAGGCCATTATTTGTCAATCCATATCGTAATTAAATCTGTGAGTTATGACTTAGAAAATGTATTCTCCATGTTAAGTATCTTAAGTGAACTAAAATTCATAATAAATTTAATGATATGAAAGGTGACATTTGATATTTTCTAGTTCCTAAAAGGTCATAGGTTTAAAATTACACTAGTAAGCCATTCAGTATCAATAGAATTGTCTTTCTAGCCACATACCTCTATTTCTTTCATGTATACATTAATTTTTACCACATAATATGACAACTGATTTCACCTTCTTTAATTCCTTGCTCTATAAATAATTCATTAATACGACTAAATAGTCGTCCAGTGCTTCAAGGTTTTCCATGGTGGTCTAGCTTTAATTGACTCATGTAGTTAATTATTAGATAGCATCATGTTTATAACCTTATCTTAGTATTAAGCCTCCCAACTGACTGTATTGCCACTAAATATAAGTTGACAGGAATTTCAAAAGTTCCAGGTCTTGGCTAGACATTTATTCAATTTCCAATAGATGCTTGTACATCTGAGAATGTGACCTTCCAATTTGACTTCTAACTTTCTGCTTTCAACTTTATTACTCTCGTTTGACTCGGCCAACATGGTAACATCTCAGGGAATGATTGCTCTAAGCAATACAGCTCGGGTAGATAATCACAAGACACAAGACTTATCACGATTATACGGTAGTAACTCTGGTTAAGATAATTCTTTTTTTTTAACATAAACTCAGCTGATAATTCAAATGTCTTCAGTTTTTGATTCCATATTCCTTTGAGAAAATAATTTTATTTCCCTACGGCGTTCCATTTCTTGCTAACGAAATAACAGTAACAGAAATATAAGAAACTCTCTTAACTAAACGGAATTTCTGTTCACATTTCTACTTGTTTCTTCCCTTAAATGAAACGTAACAAGTAATTCGGTATCATGCACCCACTATATTTAATGTTTAATATTTGAGTGTTACTTTTGTATTGTTAATTTTAGTCAACTGCATAAAGTATAAAACTTTTGACATTTCTGTCATCTATAAATGCAGTGAGAATTAATACATATTCTTACTCAATTTTCCTGAAATTCATCAGTATGTTGAACAGACCTTCCATTGTTATTACATAATAAACACCGATGTGAGGGTGAGTTCACATTTTTTTGGTGTAACACTTTATGATATCAGTAGTATTTCCAGTGTAACATTTTAGTCAGTACAATATAGATATTTCCCAGTATACCATTACTTCAGGTCAGTGTGTTTTGCATGGATAGAAGTAAAAATTTCATTTAATGTAATAAGTAGAAAGTTCATTTAATGTGACAATCATATTTTTAATATTATTCTGTGTAAACTGAATATGTGTTTCACAGTCATGCACACGATGTTTATTAAATAATCATCAATAACTGTAGTATATTTAAAAACAATGATTTTGTATGACTTGTTTTAGGGTCGTGTTTCAGAGAGTCAATAAATCTTCATTCGTATTGGTCTCTATATTTTCACTACATGTCGTTTGGGTTGTGGTGGTTTCAGAATTCCAACTACAAGTAGTAAAACCGTGGATACAACATAACCGGTCGGTACATAACACAGGCTAAACCGACCTAATACATGCAGTACAAACATAATACCGCATAAAATTCCTTTCAGTTCATATGACAGATTTTAAGTTAATTTAATTCATAAAGAAGGGAAATGGACAATTATATTAAAACAATTACAAGTTTTATAAATTCTATAACAAGTGATAATAATAATACTGAAAATAACATGACATTAGGATAGCATGAGTCTAAGATTAGAAAAACATATGTTATTATTTTGATTTAGTCTTATCTATTCCTAGACAATACGTTTATATTACAGATCTCCATAAACAACTCTTATCAGTTTCGTATTAGTCAAAACAAATTAAAGTTTTAGACTAACCTTAATAACTTAATAATTATCTCATACCTAGAAAATTTACTCACTTATTACATTTTAGATGTTCTCAAGAAACTAATATATATACCGACTGAAAGTTAAAAAGAAACTCATTTCGAATATATCTAATATTATCTTGCTAGTGTGAATAACTAACATCTTAAGACTTATGAATAGTGAATGATATATAAGAACTTTATTTTCATCGCACCTCCCTATGATCTGATCAGATGTTGTTCAAGGGAACAATAAAAACTGAGCGATCAGACCATCCAGCTCGTAGAACAAAACCCAAACTAAATCGTCTACCAAAGCAACAAATCTACTCCATCATCTCTTAACAATCGTATAAACATAAATTCATTTTAAATAAGTTCGTTGTCGAACCCGTACCGAACATCTTGGCACTCAAGGAAGAAATATTGTTTTAAATATGTGACTATTAATAGTTACTACTGAAATCTGAAAATTACGTTTCAAACTATCTGTGACTTACAAGATCAACGTACTTGTAACGATATGATGGAACTCCTGTACGTTATCCATCAGATAGCTGGCTAGTGTATTTATTTACTATAAAATAGTATCGTTTGTTGTTAGAGTCTTCTGGACTGTATTGCTATTCACAGTCATATGTTCAAATTTATTTGCACTAAATGCTTCTATATCAGTTTAAAGAGCTTATTAACTAGTAACAACCGATTCGATCACTACGGATCATTGATCAAAACGTCTAAGCCGTAATTAAGATGTACTTAATAAAAATTATCCATTAGGTTCACAGCTTATTTCTTTTTTTAAACATTCATAGAAGAAATTAAGTGAAAAAATTTTAAATGACAATAAACCAGCTGTTTATTGTACACGGTAACAAAAAATCGTAACTCATTATAGTGTTGAACTAAACCATATGTTGCTATGTGATTCAGTTGTACCAATACGACAGCATTTGTATTTAAAGTACATTTTGGTTGTACATCAGTTACATGGCAACA